CCTTTTGTGCGACCGATATCTGACTGGTTAATCAAAGCACTAATTCGTCTGCTAGTCCAGAGTATATAATGTTTCATCATCTTCATCTTCATCTGAACTTATATCTGATATGTCAGCGGCATTATTATACAAATCAATGTATGAAGATGACCGTTGATTCAAGTACTTTTTGTCGTGTCGAGCTAGAACCTTCCAAAAAGATTTTGAAAAACTAAGTGGTACAAAATGTTTCAAATAATCCCCTGACATGTTTCTGATAGAAAAAATGCAATTCCATTGGGTGCGAGAAACCTACCTTATCCGCCCTCCTCCTTTAGTGCAATATATGTTGACTACAGATATGATAACCCAACCTGACCCGACCCACACAGATAGAACTGTTTATTACTAGTGAAGCACTTTATTTTCACTTTGCAAGACACACATGATAACCCCAACCTGACCTGACCCACAGATTTAGTGATATATGTTGACTGCATACGTGATAACCCAACCTCACCCAACCCACACATATACAGTTGTTGATCACTAGTAAGGCAGTGCAAGATACACGTGACAACTCAACCCAACTCGACCTTGAGATTTAGTGATATATGTTGACTACGTACATGATAACCCAACCTTACGCGACCCACACAGATGGAACTGTTTATCACTAGTGAAGCACTTTATTTTCACTTTGCAAGACACATATGATAACCCAACCTGACCTGACCCACAGATTTAGTGATATATGTTGACTGCATACGTGATAACCCAACCTCACCCAACCCACACATATACAGTTGTTGATCACTAGTAAGACAGTGCAAGACACACATGACAACTCAACCTAACCCAACCCAGAAATTTACTGATATATGTTGACTACAGATATGATAACTCAACCTTACCCGACCCAGAGATGTAGAGTTGTTGATCACTAGCCAAGCACACCTAGATAGACATAACGACTTAACCTAACCCGCACGCTATAAGGGCTGAGACGTTCTAGGAATTGATAATTGCCTTGCTGTTGTCAAAATTCCTAAGGAGCCACTATTTGCCATCCTCTGGGACTAAAATTGAAAAAATTGTTTTTTGAGTTCCAAAGTAATCGAGATTGAAGCTTCGCAGTATTTCTTCGATATTCTTTTCTCTTTACGATATATAGAAAAATGTTTAATATATTTTTTGTAGAGAATTTTACGACACATCTTTTAAGAAAACAACAAAGTTTAGGGGATAAAATCCAATTAAGATATGAGCAAAATACTAAGTGACCGATTTATTCTGAAACACCCGTTATAATGGACACAGGTTTTCTGATTGTGAAGCTTTTTTTCATTATGCTGACAAAATATAGTGATTTATTATCATGTCGGATACATAAGTAATGTATTTTTCACACTTCTGACCGTTTTTTATCACAGCGTCACGGTTTTTCTGGTTTTTCTTTCATAAATACAGATTAATTAGAATAGTTTCGAACCTGACAAGCTATCACATCTTGTAGGGCAAATAATTTTCTACAAACTGGTATAATTGTTCACTTTTGGCCAGCTCGTCTTCACTCTTTTAGACACATTTTTCAGATAGCTCCAACATCGATTTTGGGGGTTGTTTGTACAACAGCTGTATTTTCATAACGAATCAACGTTCAGAGCCGAGACACTAATCATTTTGTAGAGAAATGTTTAAACTACTTATTTATCTGGTTGCCATTTTAGATTAGTTTGTAGCTTTATTGAAATAACTTTTCGAAAAGGAGCAAAAAATAGAGGCCGTTAGCTGGACAAGCCGTAATATGATATCCTTCAATTAATTTTTTCACTGTGATTTGATTGAACTGATCGAATTCTCAAGGCTTGATGTGAATCACAAACTGAATCGACTGATGCGTATTTCTCCTATCCGACTACTTTTTGAGTGAATTTTCACCCGGAACTGAAAATCAGCTAAAAATTTCAAAATACAGATTAGTCGATTCAGTTTTTGATTATAATTCCGCATATGATATTTTTGTTGCTTAAAAGTTGAGTTCTGATTGATAAAATTGAGCATTACAGGCAGAATTCCGACTTTTCGCCTCTGACTTAGAAAAAATGAATTTTCCCAGCAGCAAAATTTTAAAAACCGAGTCATAGGTTTGAAGCCAAGCTGTCAGCGAATCTAACGACGAGCAAACGACGGCTCAGCCCCGGACACGTAAAATCAGATAGGCTTACAAAATCCATGTCCGCACTGTAGAGGATATGTTTCGAGCGTCCACGCTGAACAAGCTTTTAACTTCGAAATTGAGCAAACTCGATTTTTTTATTCATTTTTCATATCTGAATAAGAAAAAAATATTTTGAAATTTGTACAGTTATCTAGAACTCAGATATTGAGCTTTCTTTGAACTTGAAGGATTTTTCGACTGTTTAGGCCCTTCAAGTATTTGAATGTAAAAAATTTTGGTTTTGGCGATATGGGAACTTGATGTGCTTTTTTTTATTTATGGTGCTTATTTATTAAACGAAGTTCATAAACATAAATTTAGAGCGTACTATTAACACTCGAGTGTTAACGAGTGTTAATAGTAGTAACTTTCAACAATGATACATTGTATCTTAAAATGGATAGTAGGTTACGTCAAAATGAGCCAGTTAGATAGGAAAATAACTCCGTTTTAAGTGTGCTTTTTCGCTAATCTGGTGACACAGTATATCGGTTTATTTCCTGTATCGTACCAGTTTAGGCTTTTGTTTGATTCTGTGAAGTATCCTTCTCGCATGTCTCTTTGATTTTGAGTTGAAGTGGAATTGAAATTGGAATTGTTGGGAATTAGTCGGAATTGGTTAATATTTGTTTTCGCCTTTTCAAATGCAAATACAAACTTCATCGTACCTCATTTTATAGAGAAAACAGTGCATTAAAAATGCATGAAAAAACGGATAAGGTTTATTGATATTTTTAAAGTGGACATACATTATTCAATATATATATTGTGGGTTTTGTATTTCATTTCAAAAACCTGTTACAGTATTTCGCATTATAGAATCTCCAATGATAAAAATATCTTTTTCCTACGTTTAGAGGGATAATATGAATTAGCTAGGTGATAAAGTCGTAGTGAAAATAGAGAAGGAGAAGGAAAAAAAGAAACTTCGAACGATTGATGACTTTCATCTAGGAGCATGTCTTTAGTAATGGTCTCCAGTGTCGTTTCGCACTGTGGCCTTACTTGTTTTATGGGCAAACACGCAAGGCTTCCTGGTCCTTGTACACTTGATTTGGACGTGCATAGTAAAGGACTCCTATGTATTCAATGGGTGTTCTTATGTGGGAAGCATATTCAAAAGGTTCAATGCCATGATCTAAAGTAGAAAAAGACGATGATGTCCGTACGAAAGTAACAAACGGTGAAATATTACAACGACCCACTCAGTGCAGCGACGAATACTGGCTTTTGATGGTTAAGATCATGTCAAAATTACCAAAAAACAGATCAAGATTCGCTGATATAAAACGTGATTTAATAGAAACTCAATTCAAAGCTCCTCTGGCAAAACAAGTGCCTCCTTCTCCAAAACCAATTGGTCAAGAACATTTATCTGCCTGTGGCCAACCCGAAAAAGATTCTAAACTGCCTTCTACAAGCTTTGCCCAACCAGGTCAAAAAATGGTCAATCTTTTCACATCTAAACAATCACAACCGGGGATACCTCAACCAGGTAACGTGTAAATTTTTATATTTTCAAAGGGTTTCTTAGAACGACAGCGCATAATCCAGAAAAGAATAGTTTTGGAAGAGACAAACATACATAATCTGTAGTTTGATC